CCCCCCCCTCCTTAATCCGCGCCTGCCGGGTATCCCGCTACTGCCCGAAGACCCGGTTCCTACCCGGTCGGGTGGGTACCCGGGTAGCCGGTTCTCCGGGTAAAAGTGAGAGCCCTACCAAATTTTAAATGTAGTTTTGCCAGTTTTGCGGTTTGGCTTCTGAGGTTACTGAGGAATGACTGACTGATAGCAGTTCAGATAGCTGCCAACGTATGCACAATACACAACACTCATACCACATTGCCGAACTGGAACATACAGATGAGTGAGTGATCTACGCTGTTCCCTTTTTCTGGTCGTTGCACTGAACCCAATTTAGGCTGGCGCATGGTCGGGCATGGTCGGGTTGCATAAAGTCACTGTAAAATGGTTGGCGTCTTGTGACGCCAAAATATTGGCTTTCTCTGAAGAACCAAATCTTGGCGTTCAAAGACGCAAAGTCCAGCTTTGGTACTATTCGTAAAAGTGGCTGTGACAGCCAACTCCTGGTTGTGGTTAGCGGTTTCTCGATTCCTGGACTCAAATGTAGCCTATACAAGGTAGACGCACGTTAAAACCGTGTGAAGCTGAGCTAAATGTGCGTCTACCTTGGCCTGCGGCGCGCTAAAATTAAAATGTTTTCGCGATTTTGGTTGGCATGCCTGTCCACCTCACATCCCACGTCTCACGCCAGGCGCCTCACTTCACGCCATCTTCCGGGCGGTCTCCCCTTGCGCTTCCTAACAGAGCTGAGCATTTAAAGTTAAAGCTCAGCAATCAAACAGAGTTGATCCCCACAACAAAGTCATTTTTTCCCGTGTAACCCATTTGGAAGTGTATAACCAGAATTTTTTTTAAAAAATTAGAAGAGCGGGCTGAAACAGTGTTCGGGATCGGTCGGGTTGAGCGCAACCGGAACACTGGGCTGAAAAGGACGGCGCCAATCACCCACCCCGTCTGCTTTTGGTTCGACCAATCGTGTGCTCGCATGCGGAAACGTTGGAAATCACTAAATATGTTCCTCTTCGCTTCCTCTTCTAATAGAATGGAATTTTTAAATATTTGGTGGGGGGGGGAGTTGTTATGTAACGATGATGAGTCCCGTTGGCCGTTGTTCCTGCCTGATTTGTCTGCGGTAGGCTGGCGCGCCGGGGACAGCAGGGGACCCATACGTGCACTACAAAAGGACCGCGTTTCGGCGTAGAAAGCGTCGTTCATTTGCATGTGTCCGTGGTCGGTCTCTGCTGCGTCCGGGACGCCGCGTCTCGTCTGCTGCGTCTCATTTAAAGTCGGATGCTGCTCCTGCTTGCTCTCCTGCTCAGACACCGCACGGTAAAATTGACATCTTGGATTGGATTTCAATTGATCTCCTTGGTTTTCAAGCAATCTGCTTGAATTCCAAGATGCTTTCTTTTACCGTGCGGCAGGGGAAGATGGCGCGTTTCTCATGACTTTTCCTTTGCATATTTGCGTCACGTATTAAATAATTTAAATAACGTTTCGACGAATACTCGCATTCTTGTTTGCCAAATAATTTACAAAGTTGTTCTCTAGAACAACCTGATTTTAATTTGGTAACTGTCCTGCTACAGTTTTTATCAACGGGCAACGCACTTTTCTCGAAGCAGCAGCTGCAGCCGTGCGCCGCCGCAGTCCAGTCCAGCCCTTATGTAAGGAGCGTGGTAATAATACGAGTAATAACAAATAGGAGTTTATAAGCGCGAAGTACCGAGATGGCAGAGTGATATATGGAGCAATGGCGACCTCCCCCCCTCCCCTGCCTGTCTCACTACCTCTCCCCCATCTCTTTCTGTGTCCCTGCTCTCCCTCCCTCTCTCTCTCTCTCTCTCTCTCTCTCTCTCTCTCTCTCTCTCTCTCTCT